GAGGGGGAGGGGGAGGGGGAGGGGAAGGATAAGTGGTTGTTTCGTTGTACTTACTAAAGCTTCCCTAGTTTTTTTCGCATCTTCTTGGTATTCCAATAGTTTCTTTTCAAGTTCTTCTTTTTGTTTCACCGCTTCTTCCCTTGCTTGTCGTTCTTTTAGTAGTTTATTCCTTTCAATCTTTTAAAACAAAACCAGATTTCCTGACACTAAACTATCGTTCATAATGTATTCAGAATATAGTTTATGAGTGTGACGTCAATCGCATGCATAAGGAAAAGACATCCGGGTCCAAAAGGGAAAACAGTTTTACAGAGAGTTATCTTAATACTCTTTCTTCACTACAGAATTTGATGTTCAAAGTTTTAATCGTTTCAAGTAAAAGTTAAATCATTGAGAACATTTCTCCCCTCATTTAGCGGTTTTTGTGAGCAGTTGGACAAACGGAAAAACGTCCTGGTTTCATGACTGATTTAAATGTTTTACCTGTCTTCGTAGTTTTTCTTCTTTTGCCAAAGCCTTCATCTGTTGGATTTCCATAGTATCTGGTTTCCTTCTTCGTTTATAAAGTTCGTGGTTCCCAATACACAACTCTAGAATCTACGTCGAGAAATGTAGATGATACGGTTATTGAAGTAAAACGGTAAGAGACAATCAAAAAATGACGGAAAGTTGGAAGGGAGGAAGGGAGGAAGGGAGGAAGGGAGGAAGGGAGGAAGGGAGCAAGGGAGCAAGGGAGGAATGAAGTTGTAAAAAAGCAAAGGTGTGCTAGTTATACGTTCACCTACCACAGTACTGGTGGACAGGTTATCTGTCTTGAAGACAAAGTCTGGGGATTTCTTATCCACACATTTTATTTCAAACTACGACAAAAACAAAACAAAAATAAATCAATTGATAACTTGACTCAGTGAACAGTTTAAGGCACTTTCACAGAGTGAAACATCAGTACCTAATGAAAATGTGTCACGAAAATCCTTGTAAAAGGACTTGCACAAAATATGCTTCTACTCTTAGGTGAAGAACATGTAACATGGCGAACTTAATCAATTGTTTAAAAAACGTGTCCTAATAATGCCATTTTAATGTGCCACAAGAGTAGGGTTACTACAACTGATTACACTTACTCTCTTATCATGAAATGAGATATGCTTCGTTTCATTCCATGGGAAAGATATTTTTGGGTTCAGCTTATGATCCTTTTCATAGACGTTTAATCCATGGGCATCTATTCCTAAGCACAAAGGAGTTCCTTTCTGATTCTAGGGGAAAATGAATAAAAAATATTGATAATAATGCATGATGAGGAGGCAACAATTGTGACAAATGACAACACAATGGTGACAAAAACTACATTGAGAAAAAGGATGATAAATGATGATGATGACGATGACTAATGACAACTGATAAAGTGGTGATGAAAACTACAATGACAATGTAGATGATGACAATCATGATGATTTTTACAAATAGCTGTGATAGTGTATTCTCGCAATCTATTGGCTGACACCTATGATCAATAAGATGACAGACACATAGAATGACGAATCGCTCATGCACGGGGCAGCGGGCATTTGAAACCATTTTCTTTTGAAACTTTTTCTTTGTTCTGAGAAGGTCTTATTCAATTTCGTTATTGTTAAAAACAAATCATTCATATATTTCCATTGTCTTTCCTCTTTATATTGATCATAGATAATGTCTTAAAATGTTCAAAACTTTACAGTCAAACTGATGATGATGGTGGTGATCTTGTTTTCCTGTATGTACAAACTAAAACTAATAACTAAACTCAAACCAATAACTACTGAATTTTATTTTCTGCAACCATTATCCTAACAGATAAAGATAAGGTTTCTCCTCAAAGGATGCTGCTGAAATTTCCAAATTACCTTAATTTCAAAGTATCTCACTCCATACATTTCAAGATCTTGTGCCAATTTGAGGTATTCAACTTCCGCTTCATCCCTTAAGTGTCAGTAAGAAATTTTTGAGTATTACTCAATGATCACACATGTGGGGTGTATATGTGTTGGGGGGGGGAGGGTGTATACGCG